CCTTTAGAAAAAAGCTTCCCTGATTGATGTTGCCAATGAAATTAGGTGTCTGCAGTAGATTGCTTTCTGTAGAAACCACTTGTCCAACAATCGACCTAACCACAGTTCATAATTGTTGTGATTCTTAGTTACTGTTATAATTTAAAGTTTGTTTAATTGTATTTAGCATGTTCCTACTTTATGCAGATCGTTTTTTTTACTTTCCTTAACATTGGTAGTAACATAGTATCATATATACTACCTTTTTTATCATAACTACACTCAAGAAATTACTCGAGAAATCTAGAAAAGTTTAGAAACTTTAGTTATACTTTGAAGTGTTTGTGACAATAATACGCGGATCTGCATGTACAAACGAGGAATTTTGGGAATATTAATTACTCAAGATACTGAATTAAAAAAAATCACATAAATTGTATAGTTTACTTTTCTACCGCACTAAACTTTATATCGAATATTTAAATAATCTGGTAAAATTCTTGGAACGAGGCCTTATCTTAAAACTTGACTAAGCCTAAAGTATAACGTTATATTAAGGTAGGGGATGACGCAGCTTCTGTTTTTTTTTTTTGTTTTTTTTGTATTCACGTGCTCTCCAGTGGTTAAGCGGTAAATTTACGGATTTATAACAACAAAATCAGGAATTCGATTTTCTGTGGTGGACAAAGTGCAGATAGTCTATTGTGCAGCTTTGCGTTAAAACATCATCTTCACGTAAAGCAAATTACAAATAAATATAAATTACCAGTGAAGATATTGTAGGGGACATAATCATATATATATGAGGCTCTGATAGGGAAACACACACATACACACACTTTGCCTATATATATAAAGTACAAAAAAATGTGTCTGCCTGTTCCTCCATTATCTAACTACTCCTAGGTCGCTGGGTCAATCTCAACCAAACTTTGTGGGATGATACTTTGGAACAAGGGGCATGTTAAAGGGGGTTACAACCCCTCCACCCCTTTATTCCTGTTATTGAGCATTCATTATCTTTGACGTAAGTTAACGTTAACTACATTCATAGATGGCGCCATGTCCTTACACCAAAAACATAAAGCAATGTACACACAGTGTGTGTGTGGAGGGGGGGGGGGAGAATACAAACGTCTTATATATCTCAGAGAGTGTGCTAGTACTCTCTATGGAGGAACACAATTAAAAAAAATGACCGCCACTAATGGAATACTATATAAACTCAGCTGAAGTTTCTACTCCAAGCTACCATAAGGCTGGTATGAAGAGCTGTTTCTGAGTTATAGCCACTTCCTACTTTGACCCGTGATCTTTCAACTTCGGTTCGTAACACACTTCTACGGCCAATGACCGTCAATTAACTAATCACGTGAAACACTGTGGAAGGACATTAAGTGTTGAAATCGACTAACAGAAAGCACCCCTACCGCTACCTCTTCATACAAAGTCACCCTGACCATCGCACAGTGTATATCATGTTTTAAGTATATACATATTGAGTTTTTAAAGTTTATGAAAAAACTTTTGTTGGGGTAATAATGAATACTGTAATAATACGTTATGTTATAAATAAACTGTGTGAAAATTATGACTTTTGAGTTGTTTATCATAGAATCCACTCACACATTTTTTAAAAGTTTATAACCCGGACAAAAGACAGGTACCTCCGCTTGTATTAAAATATAATCAAAATGTGTGGATAGCATTGCAAATTCAATCTCACCGTTATTATTTGCTAGTGCCATCTACTGGAACGAAGAGTAAGGACCGGCCATGACTTTGTCCGTTTGTTTTCTCTTACACAGTTAATAGTAAATTATTACGATTGTCTGCATTAGAATGAGCAGATTGAAGGTTAAAAGTTTGCGTTCCATAATTTGTTGTACTTATATAGTTGAAACACAACGTTTAACATAAGAACAATACCTTTATATGCACGAGATGTAACGTGACATTCAGCCGTGACTAATGTTTATTAGTTACCAGGTGTTCAACAACCGTACTTCAAAGGGCAGCTTTTTTTCATAATTTGTTTTGATATGTTAAAAATTTAGTAGACTTCCAGTTTTAATGTTCTGCTATGAATAAAAAATATTTGTCATTAAATACATTGGAAATAGCTCTTTCTGTAGATAAAATGATATAACAATTGAGTACAATTGTTCTTTACTCTTATCTTCTAACGATAAACAAGCAACGCATTTTAGATGTAAAAAGAAACGCTGTTTTTATTAGTTTACCCACGTACACAGAAATATTAGTGTTAGTGAATTACTAGATTCTTAGTTTATTGTGATGGCAACAAAGTTTACTAACGTTTTAAAATTACGTTTTTATGTACATAAAACACATTAAATTAATCAAAACTGAAATCAAGATCTGCTAATTTTGAAACGCACGCCACTAATTCAGCTTTAGTTATTCAATTGATTCTCGGCAAAGTTCGGACACTTTTATAAGTGTAACTCATACATAGTATTCCCAGATTACTAATGCATTTCTTGTTTCAAGTCTGGTAATCCTCCCCTAGTCGGACAGGAGTGCATTTTGAACATAAACCTAGATCGTTATTAAGAGTGTGTGAGTGAAAGACGTAATTAATGGTAGTTTAAATACTAACATATACTAACTAAAAACAGATAATACGACATAGAAGGAATCTATATAATTGTTTACTTAAAAACCAAAATGGGTTGAAATTTATAAACGATAAACGTAACAGCCGTTGCTTTGTAAATATTAAACTATATTGTCCCTTTAAATAAGACTTTGGCTTAAAACGGATTAGTTGTCACACAAATAATTGTCTCGAGTAGAATCGAAGACTGTATACGTTGCCAAACAACTAGACTTAGAAACTATTACAGTGTTAAATTAAGCGAGAAAGTTGGCCAGTAATACTATAAAGAAATACCAATATACTTCATCCAATGTCATACTCGATTCCTTTGCCTGGGCATGAAGGCAAAAAGAGTACCAACAACAGCTCATCTATATGCAAAATGCATAGCTCAACGAGGCATGAAGACACAATGCCTGGTGAGATGCTGTAGCGGTGATCAGAGATGTACAGTATACTGTAAAGAAAGGTGAAATGTCTCACAGTGAAGTGTAAAGGACTACAAACAAAATATTTACTGGAAATAAAAGAATGGAATGCCTTTGTGCAGAGTCAGATCCCCTAATGACGTACAAGGTCCAACATCTTCAATGCAGAGTTCTGGCCGAAGTGTAAACCAAAGACCCGTAGTCCAGCTTAGACTGAATGAGGGCATAATACATCTTGAAGAACATGCACTTAAGTTGCTTTAGGAGTGGAATAAAAGTCAGTTTACTGTCAGAGAGTTCTAAGAACTTTGTTTCAGCCACCAGGGGAATTTGTTCATCTTCCAGAAGGAGCTCAGTTTCCATTTATGGTAGAAATGCGTGCAAATGGTTTTAGATGGACGAAAATTTAAAACCATTGGCAGTAGTTCACTCACATAATTTATTGAGGGCAGTTTAGAGCTGCCGCTCAATGTAACTCATATTTGATTAGCGACAAGAAATCTGAAAATCATCCACACATTGGCAGCGTTTGCTTGTTTGTTTTTGAATTTCCTACACGAGGGCTATCTGCGCTAGCCGTCCCTAAGTTAGCAGTGTAAAACTAGAAGGAAGGCAGCTAGTCATCACCGCCAACTATTAGACAACTCTTTTACTAACTAATAGTGGGATTGACTGTAAAAGTCCACATGCAAATAGAAAGATGCTTCACTAGTGAAAAGAGAAAGGCTGTGACCTGAGAGCATATGTTCCATAGCTCGACTCCTCCCATCAGTATCTTCACCACCCCAGAGTGAATTATGTCCAATAAAGTCTCCCAGGATAAAGAAAAAGAGATGAAATTTGCTCGATAAGTTCATCCGGGTCTGCCAGATTGAAATCATCTCCTTGTAACAGGTAAAAAGAACCAAGTGTGACAGTATAACACAGACTGCAACAGCTACCAGTAGTATATTGGAAGGTGCATGCTGGTCAAGCAGCAGTGCTGCTACTTCTCCATGAACCCGTCCATCACACAACCTGTCTTGTACACATAGGATGGTAAGAATTGATCAAGGCCTTAACATCATCCAAATTAGAGCAAAAAACCTTGAATGTTTCACTTTACCAATATGGGGTGAATCAATAAGACAAATATCCCATTGTAGGTCTACTTCTTTCAGTCTTGTACTTGTTGACTCCAGTCTCTAACAATAGTAAGCAATTGAGTCCATTTACACCAGCTTCACAGTGCAGGATCACTATTTTACTGGAATCATGTTCATCTGATGGGAATGTTCCCCGTTGATCAGTGGAGGTCAACAGACCTAATACAAATAAAGCAACAAAATATGGTCGAAAATCGAAACACAATGGCTTCCCATCTAGATTAACAAATTCTATGTGAAAATGAATTAAATCAGTTTTTAGAATTACAAAAACACACAAGTGTCTCTGCAGAACAAAGAAAGTAATGCAACACTTACCTTCAAATGCTTGGAGAGAATAGGAATTCAAATTCATAATCAGATTTACATTTCTTGTCTTTCTTTTTTATCAGCTTAGAAAAAGTTCTGCCAAAGAACAGCTGCTTTTCATCCATTATTTTTTGTATTCTAAAATCTGAAGGTGAATAAAATCCAATTTATCCCATAATAGTTTTTACAAGTACATAAGATTGTTTAAGCCGATTTCTTTTTATGCAACATTTATAAATATTTTAACCAAAACATGCTTATCAAGTGAAAGCTTCTCACAAAGTGCCACATGTCAGTAGGGTGAAGCTGCATAAATATTCAATATGTGTATAAGACTTATATCTTTACAGGTCTATGGAGAATAAGTAAAAATGGCAATCATTTGTATATTATCTATGAGTATACAGATTATTTTATCTGATTATGTATGAATGGCACGTTTTGTATTGCTGTTTTTTACCGTTTTTGTTTGCAGATAATGGCAAGAAAATAATAGTGCAATAACAATTCTTTATGTACATGTTTGGTACATTTCCAAAGTTTGTAGAATACTTTATTTATGTTTATCCTCTTTCACCTTTTCATATACATTAGCAAGAGAGCTATAACCTTCTAATCCACATTTTGCTCCTGCTAATTTGCAGCCCAGGGTAACAGCTTCTTCAACTGACTGTCCATTTCTTAAGCCCATGATACAGGCAGCAACAAAGGTATCTCCTGCTCCTAGAGTATCTACCAACTTTAAGGGTGGATAAGCTGGTGAAAGGACAAGCTTTCCATCTATGTCACAGGCACAAGCTCCCAGGTCACCCCAAGGACATATGAGAATTGAGCTGCAAGTTATGAAAAGAAAAACTATTTGATAATATGGATAAGCCTAATTTACTCCAATTTACAAGCACTATTTATTCTCTACAATATTTCTACACTAGTTTGTAATAACTTTACAGTTAATGTTCAATACTTTGACTGATGACAAATTGTTCAATCACATGAATACATGAATTTATGACTAGTGTATATATAAAAAATTTATATTTCTAATACTAATAATGCCTTAATAAATTATAATTACTGACAGTTGATAATGAGAAATGGAATAACCCTTACGCCAATATCTGCAATTCAGCACATGTACACATTAGGCGAATCTATAAATGTTGTAGAATAGATTTATTATAGATTTGTGTTAAAAAAGTTGTCATACACATAATTTTCAATGTGTTTTGATAGTTGAATACATATGTTCAATACAGTGTTATTTATGATACACCACTTTTACTTCAGTGATTTACTAAATTTTTAAATGTGGCTATGTTCTTAAAGATGTACTCAGTGTTGGGCACATTACTAGAAAAAAGTAATGACATTACTTTAGCTATTAGCTGCTAAAATATTAGTGTCATTACCCAAAACATTACTTATTTAAAAATGTAATGAGTAATGACTCATTACTTGTTATTTTTCAAATAGATACCTGTATTCTGTACATAAAACCTGCACTGTGTACATTATATATTATATTACACATATTTATACAGAACTGAACCACAATCATTGAACTGAAGAAAAAAATGCATTATACATTGGGAGGTTTTATAATAGCAATTAAAGGAGCTACTTTTATTTTTCTTTTATAATATTCAAAGTAAGAGCAATGTATGAATTAGACAATACAAGAAAAAAGGAATTCAAATGGCTAAAATAACTAATAAGTAGCCTATCAATTAGTGTGAGATAATCTAACAGAGTTTACTTCATGTAATAATTGCAGTGTTAAAACGATTATTTTGGGAGGCCAATATCACTGTTACGTTTCAAGAAAACAACACTTTCGAAACTTGCATCAGATATTCCTACTCTTTTCACACTCAGCACGTCTTTACCAACTGAAAAAAACCCTCTCAACTATGGCACTTGATGAGATAGTTGTATTTAATGAAATGAAAACAGACTTTACAAGAGGTTTATTTAGAAAAGCACCAACTACTTAAGCACTTCTGTGTTCAGTACTGTTTGTCTCCTTTGTTTGCAGGCATCTTAAATATTCGTTTTCTGTTTCTGTTATGTACCATACTGTGCTGTGTGTTCTTCTATCTTTGAAATAACATTTTGTTGAACTTGTTCCCTTCAGATTTTCTGGAAGCCAGGAGAGTCTGAAGTTAGGATGAAAACACACTGAAAGAATTGAATTGTCATTGTTGAACATGTTATCAAACATAGTTTCTATGCTTTAAATTAATACTTCAACTAGAGGTTTACAAATTTGTTACTGTTTATTGTTCAAATTGCCCAATTTTGCTAGACAAACATGCAAGGTCAGAATTAGTAGTCCCATAAATACTTTGTTCTCACACTGCAAGATGTTAAGTGCTCTAGCAATAGGTCTCATGATATCAATGTATTCCAAAATAAGAATTTTCTCAATTGGATTCAGTTGATGATAAGCTTGATGTAGCTCTTGGTCACTTGACTCACTTCTAGATATTAATTGATCTACACGATTTAGAGCATCAAACAATGAATTCCAACGAGTTGGACAAGAAACAACCAAGCATCCCTCTTCTGCTCTGTTTATTCCATAAGGCTTGAGCTTTTGCTAACAAGACATTTATTTTATACTAGCGTTACTGAAAGCTTTAGTTAAATCAGTAGTAGCAACGTGATTTAATGTACGAGAAGCACACCTTTGATGGTCTGGCAAAATGCATATAAACAAACGACATAATACCTCATGTTCAAAAACTAATATATTGGCTAGAGAATGAATTTCTACAGTATCTTCATCTGTGTCATCATCATTATCTTTACTTATGACTGCATCATCATCACAACCAGCAACATCACCATACAGTTGGTCAGAAGAGATGGTGGATACATAGTTGGAGAACAGTCTGTAAAAGAAGTTATCACTCTATTATTTAAACTTACAACATAAGTGCAAAATATAATTTTGACATTTAATAACATGACCGATAATCTGACCACATAGGGTAATGCTATGATCTGACATCTAACCAAGTGACCCAGAACAACCAACCAACCAATGCATCCAAATATTACATATACATACATACATACATATATATAATATAATTAACCTTTCCACAAATACAAATTGTCCACTTAATATTTTATTCTGGCTAACACCAGATGATTTTATTATGATTAAGGAAAGACTCCTAGGCATAAAAGGGATAATTATATGAATGTGAGCTGTAATTTGTGTCTGTTATATAGACAATGTATACCTTCTCTCCTCCCATTACTTCACTCCTTCTATCATTTATTAATTCATTTCCACACCCATATTTATATAATACAAACTGCTCTCTCTCTGTCTCATTATATATTCTTATCGGGATATTTTAAAGCTTCTCCCTAATTGGCCAATGCATGCGTTATGTAAAAAATGGGAGTAATTCCATGGAGGCAGTGAGCTGGCCATGGAAAACGTGGTAACGACTCACCTGACTAAGGGCTATTGCTTGAAATTGTACATATGCAGTGATTTAAATATATAGGCAACTTCATATAACTTTAAAACATGCCACTAACCTGAAACCTGAAAGCCTTGAGGAAGTTGTTTCCATTATCTGTTGCAGTTTTGACAATTTTATTCTGGATGTAATATTCAACATGTACAACTTCTAGTACCTTTCTAATGAGATCGTAGGTATGACATCCTTTTATACAACAACAGGACATTAACTGTTCCAGCATATCCTTGTTTATTCCTAAATAGGCTCTGAAATTTAATAATAGTCCATCAGTTTCCAAGTTTGTGTTTAGTAACAAAACAAGTTAACTCCAATATTTAAAAATTAACTATAGTAATATGAAGACAATATAATAAAATATCAACGTTCCTAAGTCAGGAGCAAAAAACATACCTCCAGCATTGTATAGTTTAAAAAATGTGAGAATATTAGAAACTAAAAAAATTAGAGACAATTTATTACTTAATTACCTGTTTTTACATCTCCAGCAGTCAGCAGTCCTGGCAACAGTCTTGAGTACTGTTACTTGGGGGTTTAGAAGGCTAGTTTTTTCCTCAAAGGCGTCATTCATTTGCCTCATTAATGTTCTTAAAGAAATGACTGTTCCTGTGGGCTGTAGCGACATGATTAAACTTCTAAAGGATGTAGTTTCAACAACTCTAAATGACAAAATCTCTGAAACCACAAAGTCCAATATTACTCCATTCAGCTTTTGTTGAGACACTCAGGATCTTTGCCCAAACATTAGAAGCTGTTGTAACACATAATGTGCTGTTTTGACTAAAAATTCAAGAATGTTTCTGAAAACATTACTAAATTTGAAAAGTAGTGTTACCTTGAACGTTACTAAAAAGTAACATCCTTAGTAATGTCACTACTAATAATGACATTACCTCCAAACAGTGGATGTACTACATTTTATAAGTATTAGCTGTAAGTTGCAGTGGCCGAGGTTTCATACAGCATAGAAAATAAAATGTAAAAGGGTCCAGCATATTCTAGTTTAAAAAGGTTAATCATTGAAAACTTATTAGACAAGGTACTACATATAGATGTAGATACGAGTTATTAATTAATTATAATTATATTTATATACCAAAGAATAGAGTAATATCACATCAATGAAAGACCTGTATTACATGTGGCCTATAGTTATAATAATTTCTCTCTGCTTTCTGAAATGAGTCTTATCTATTCTCATAATTTAATGCTGTGTATTTATTTTCTACTTTGATGAAAATGTTAATGTATTTTAATTTATAAATTTTTGATTGGGTGATTTATTTTTTTACTATGAACAATTTCCCATGATATTCAAAAAGTTGTAAAACATAACAAATTATGTGCTTAAAATGTTTCAAAGAGATTAAGAAGCTAGTAAGTAACCTTAAATATTCCTCACTTGTTCTTAACAAAAATAATTGTGAATATTGCCTGATGATATACACACCTAATGTTTATAAATAATTTTTTTAATTTTTTCAATGTTTTAAAACTTTAACTTTCATAAACAAGTTTTTAATGAAATAGTGCTTATACTCAAAATTACAAACTTATATTTTTTATTTGGGAATTTCAAAGTAATTTTTTTTCAACTGATCTAGTTAATAGAATAAAAATATGAAAAGAAATTCTGCAGTCTTATGGTCAAACATTTTACATTAGTTAGCTGTGTAATTAAAGTAAATGTATCACAACTGACAAAAAAATGTTTAATCTTAAGTTATTTGCTAAACTTAGATACAAGTTCCATGCTTTATTTGTACAAAAAAATCAAGACACTGAAAATTAATTGTAGATCTAAAAAAGAACTACTTTATAAAACATATACTCACCCTTGCCGAGCCATTTGTGATAATTCCCGAACCGCAGTTTCCATTCTTTCAATATCAAAAAGTTTAACAAAATCTTTCTCAATAAAAACAAAATCTGCTTTATCAAGCAGTTCTCTTAATGGTGTTTTAGCTTTCTCTAATTCAACAGACACAAAAATCTTGTCTGTTGGATGATTTTCATTCCAGTTTTCAATGTGCTGAATCATTTTACATACTTCTGCCACATTCCTTCCCTTAAAAGAGAAGAAAAACTAGCAACCAGTACATCTAACAGAAACTCTGATGAAAAAATGCAAAGAAATTTACCATTTAAATAACTGATTAAATACTACAAAAATTTACAAAAAATATTTTTCTGTGAAAGTTGAACAAAGCAAAAAGACATCAAGAAATAAAATCTTCTTATGAGGTTAGCACACAAAGATAATTCGTGTTTCTTTTTTTTTCTCATTTCACCGAGATTATATATAGGAAATGTATGAAGTGTTATGTTATTAACTACAAAAATTGGACTAAAACACCATATTTTTTTGTGTCTAAGTTATACCAATCATAACACAATTTTGCCTTGTACAGAGAATTAGGTTTATGGTAAGCTATAATTTTTTAGTTTAATTCTAAGTATCCAACAATAATAAATAACTAGAAAGAGAGAAGTATGAGGTAGGATTTTCAACAAAAAATTGTCCATCAAATTAAATGAAAAATTTGGCTATGTGGAATTTTAATCAAAAACAACAAAGCATTAACTTACAAACAGACTAGTCCCAGGTTTTATTGCTTGTGTTTAGTAGAATTGAAATGCAAGAAACAAATTTTATCTCATTTTGTAGATAACTGAATTTTTCTATTTTTTAGAATTAAATTCAATTTCAAACAGGAACTTATCTCTGAAATACTGAAAACCTTTCCTTGTTGAACTTGAACTTATGTTGTCAACAAAACATGCAACTAAATATTTTCTGAATGTCCATTATGCAAAGGATGCATCACTTACCCATAAATTCTCCACTCTCCCACTAATTGTGTAAGAGTAAGGAGTCCTACATAAGTTCTGCTTTCCTACCATAATTTAGATTTTATTGAAAGTTAGTCAATGAAATTTCAGTTGTGTTCAAGCAGGAGAGAAAGATCAGAGGAAAGTAGTACCTGTTTGAAATTCATTTTAATTTTAAAAATGTAGAAATTATTTTCTTAAGTTATTTACAAAATAATATAAAATGTATTTCTTACATTTGAACTTCTCAACCTAAGACACCCATAGATTTGTGAACAGGAACGTTAGGTGATAGATAAATACAGAGGATAAAGAACATGCAAAAGTCCTGATTGAACTAATCAATATAAATATAGTCTCAATAAGAGATTGTAATTAATTACTGTCTCTTTCTTGTTTTGTATTGCTTGTTTTAAAGTCAAAGTTATTCACAATCCCAGACACCTCGAAAATGGTTAACAGCAGTTAAATAATTAAAAGTCACAAGAGATGGATTCCACTGAGCTTGAAGAATAACTTATAACTGGCCAAGAAAAAGGTCTCAAAACAAGACAAATCATTACATGCAGAGCAGAGAACTAATGTCTGGTGAAAGGTAAAAAACAGATGAAACATCGCCTCTCCATCAACCGGCCTAATCAAAAACTTGAGATGATCGAGTAGAAGGTGATTAGGAAGTGTATGAATACAGAGCCAGTTTGGAAAAAGTCTGCAACCCCAATATCAGGAGACAGTGGGAAAAATACAAAAATCAAGTACATAAATCATCTTGCATGACACAAGCACCTCGTCTATAATGGAAATAGTTTTAATATTGAAAATATATAACATATCAGAGAGAGAAAAGAAATAATACCAATACAAATGTAAAACTTAACAAGGAAAGGTTTTCTGTATTTCAGAGGTGAGCCAACCTTATTTCAATTGGTTTAACATTAAAAATAATAATATTTTTCAGACAACTTTCATAACATTTGAGTCTTTCACTTGAAGAACAACTACAAATTTTGTTAAAAAAAGCCTTTTGTACAACATTTATTACTGTGGTAAGATATGGCTTGCAATGAAATAGCTATGAAAACAGTAATCATTACAAAATCTAATATTCTGAAAATAATGTTTATCACACCTAAACCATTTATAGAGAAAAAAAAAGAAATGGTTTATTTTACAACTACTAAATTGCAACTTTTCTTCATTGTACAGGGAAGTTCGTAGATATTAAAACTTTTAAATAATAAATGAAAATGTGGCCTAGTGTATATGATGTAACTTACATATATATGGATGTCTGGGCACTTAACTTTGGAAAATAAATCTAGATCTCTAGATAGTTTAAGTAACATGTAAAACTGCTTTATAAATGCAGTCAAAGAGTGCATCCGTAATTTTTTATAAAGCAACTTAATCAAAAGATACATTCATTAATACTCGTTCCTAATTACAAATTCTTCACTAACACACATTTCACTCACATGTGCAAATACAATACAGACATTAATTTAAAAACCTTACTCTCAAAATTGTGGTTAATCATTCCTTGGAAAGACTGATCATAAAGATGTTAGGAAAAACATACTATTTCCTTTTTTATTAAAAAAGAATGCATTTTAAAATAGCTTCATTGTACAAGATATTAAACAATGCTATTCAAGGGTATTTGTCACTCTTTTACCATAACTTTATGAACATTATTTTTTAAACAATATATACTGTAGTGCTAAAAGTATTTTACCTCAAAATGGATCCAATTATATTCCTTTAAGTTTATTTTTTTAAATTCTTCACAACTCAATTCAGGTAGATTGCTAGGAAGATGAGACAAAAGGTTGTTCCAATAAAAATAAGCCCCAAAACGATAGCATCAAAAGTGCTTGAAATTATAAATTATCGAGAAAAAAACAATTTATAGAAGAACATGAAACAAACTTCTATAGCTATACAAATTGATGGATCATACCTGGTTATTCTATTATAAACTCACACAGCTGTTTCACTACCATTACGACTATGCAAAAACAAATGCAAACAACAATAAAGGTAAGCAAAACTATATACTGGTGTAACTACAGAATAAAACTAGCTTTCAAACTGAAGAGAGAACGATAAATTCTAGTGAACCAGAGTCAGCTACAGGTCTTATTGCTACAATCTTAAAACTCTTAACCATCTTAACCTCAGCTCTCCTGATGCATTCTCCA